TTGAGAATCAGAAACAAACATGGCCATGGTAGGATTAATATTACTCCGCTCATCTCTTTCTCTCTCCATTCCAATTTAATATGGCGGCATCTCTCTACCCCCATGTTCTCGGGCACCATCTTTTGGACTTCCATTGGGTTTCCCCAGCGGAATTGTTGTATTGAAGCATAGTGGAATCGTCAATTGGTTGAGAGAAAGTCTGAGTGCTTGAACGAAAATTTTCAAAATATGTCCTAGAAATTGGATCAATTGGCTTTTTAATTGGTTCAATTGATGGATTACCCACGACCTCATTTGGATGTTTTGGGTAGAATTCATCATTTGGAATGCATTCGGTCATTGCCTATTCTAGCAGAAACCGTTTGCGACTGGGAATTATTGGATTCTGGGCATCGATGTATGGGACCGATTTTGATAAATCAAGACCATGAAACGGGTCACCTCGGTGAGGAGAATCAGCTGGTGGTGGTCCGGGACCGTGGTGTCGCCGGAGTGGCAAGAATTTGGATGGAGGTCGTGTGTTACTTGCATTTTGAAGCCAGTTTTTGGTCTGATTTGGGCATCTATTCTTTTTTAATTTCAGTTTACTTCTTTGAATTTGGTACTGAATGTTTCTGGAGCCATGCTATGTGTACATAGATGTATACATAGGGGTTCACATAATGTGAGTGAAGTGGGGTTCAGGCTACAGTATCGTGGGGCCCACCCCACTTACATTATGTGNGAAAAGCTATAATATGCCTTGCATTATGGAATCAGCTTCATTGGAACCAAAGTATGGTAACAAGTTCGTTGCTGGAGGAGAAGACATGTGGGTCCGTGTTTTTGATTTTCACACGGGAGCAGAAGTTGGTGAGTTCCTTTATTTATGCCATTCATCATCAGTATTTTTTTTTACTTCGTCAATCATTTAGTGCCTTGATTTCTCAGACTGGACAGTTACTGAGACTTTTTCCTTGGGAAATTTTCCATGTCTCCACTTTTTATGTTTTCCTCCTGTTTATATTTCTTGGCACTTTTTTTTTTTTTACACCTTTTCGTTACAAACAAAGTCTTGCTGTCTAGACACAAATTTTCTGTTCTAGTAATTTCACACGTGTTGCACAGTAGTGTCTTCACGGTCTTCTTGATGCTGCTATCATTGTTTTTATTTATACAAGTTTCAAATACTAATGCGGGTGCATAATATCAGTTTCACCCCCAGTGTTCTCGTTGGATTTTACAGCCGTCATTATTATCAATATTTATTTTCTTTTTGGGATGATACTGGAATTAATCCTTTCATGGGTCTAGCCTAAGCTGTTTCATTTGCTTTGTCTTTTTTTTCATCACAGGATGCAACAAAGGTCACCATGGTCCAGTGCACTGTGTTCGATTTTCTCCTGGAGGTGAATCCTATGCCTCAGGCTCTGAAGATGGGACTATCAGAATATGGCAAACCGGTCCTTTGACTCATAATGAACAGGACGGTTCTTCTAACGGACCTATTCTGAACATGAAGGATGCAGCTGATGAGGTTACTAAGCAGATTGAGAATGTTCATATTGATGAAGAGAAAAACGAGGGATGTGAAAAGGCAAATTATGCTGAATAGGAATATTTTATCGTGTGTCTGTTTTAGTCTTGACTGACTGCAGGTTGTAAAAATGGGTAATTTTCAGGGTTCATCTTGTTTCTGTGGCGTATTTGAATAAAAATAAGATTTCATCTCTCTCGCTTTACTCTTATTCTACCTGCGGCACATGATTCAGCATGTGTTGAGACTCTTCGGATTGCATTATTCCTTTTTCCGTCTAATAGGGAATGGCTGTAGTCTCGTTATGGCCTAGTAGTTCGTTGTCGTAGGAGTATTAGGCTGAAGAATAAGAGTTAAGGTTATGAAGTCCTTTCAAGTAAAATAATTGCTTACTTTTGAAACTCATTTGCTGGAAAATACATTACATCGATTGTACTTTCATACTATCATTTTGGAAGTTTTAGCTGATGTCGGACTTCTTATACTGATATTTTGCCTTCTCTGCATTATCAAGGTTCTGGGTGGTCTAATTACGATCTTCAATCCAGAGATGGGAAATTCTAGTATTTTGATGTGATAATTTGACTAATTCAAATACAATTATGTTACATGTACATTTTGTTTTACATTTTTTTATATTATGCCACGACACATGATTGAACATGTTTTTTTTTTTTTTT